GGTCTCCTATACCTACTCAAGACCACCAACCTCTCCAGCGAATGCAGAACACAGCTACAGAGCAGAAAGTGGACAGGTGGCAGCCAGGGCTCTCTGTAAGAAATGTACCCGATAACCAGATTCCACTGCACCAGTTCAGAACAGATGGATTGCCGCTCCCCTTTATCACTTCTGACAGACAGTGCCATCAATAATTTTTGGCATCTAGAGGAAGGACTGCTGCCTCCCACTGTGACTTCCTTTCTTCAGTTAATGCTTCCTCATCCAAATTACCTGGAAACTGCATTATTGGCAAACTTTAGGTCTGCACAAACAAGAACAGCAGAATACAGGGCAAAGATGAAAGCCAAATTAAATATATAGCGATCATTTTTTTGTGAAGGATCCCAGCCAATTTTTTTCTCCGATAAAATTAGGTCCTTTTTTGCTTACAGAATATCCACAAGCAGATGGCGATTTCTCAAACTTGCTATTTGAAAGCATTTGATAAAGGAAAGTTACAGCTGTGGAGACAAAAACATTCACGCTTAGAATACCGGAAGGAGGCATGGTAAAAAGATTACACTACAACTCGCTATGACTACATAAAACAGACTCTGAGCAGACTCCCAAGCCTTTCCATCTTGCAGGACATTACGATTATCCCCTAGCTGGGACAGAATCAGGGAAAAGTAGGGCTGGAAGGGACTTCAGCAGGTCATCTAGTCCAAGACAGGATCATCTCGAACCAAACCATTCTAAAGGAGTGTTCACCTACCCCAGTTGGCCTCAACCTCAGATTCGAAGCGCCCCTTGTTGGACTTGAGGTACACCTCTTAGCTTTTACTTATGTTTCGACCATAGAAAAACAACAGAATGAGTCTTCTGTTGCAAAAAACTCAAGATCACGCCAGGTCAGGATGTTTCTGATACTATGGATTCTTCTTTGCTAGCTCAGAGTTTATCTGGTGAATTATATGTAGGTATTTGCACACCTAACAGTAACTCATACTGAGAAGCACCTTGCGGCACCCTGCTTGAGAATCATTGGCATATCCTATTCTTAAAGCTGCGTGACTGCCTTGTGCATCCTTCTTGTGCAACTACCAGGCACAATACCCCAAAACATCAAGAACACTACTTGCCACAGGTAAAGGAGAGGGATGAGGCACTGTCAATGTCCTGCCACTGCAAGAACAGGTCTGTTAAAACACACTCGAGAGATCCAAGGAAGAGGACCCTGCCCCTCTCTGCAGAGAAAAAGTCATAACCCACCACAGTTCAGGGCGATCTGACTGTGGAGTAAAAGTCCTTCCTGATCTTAAACGTAGTGAATGGTCTGGCCCTGACTGGATGAACAACACCAGAGGAACAAGATTGGCTTATTCCATCTCAGCCTTCTGGTGGGAGAGGCAAAAGAAGAGAAAAAAAGAACGTATATTCTGCAACAAAAATCCTCACAAGCTATTTAGTGCAGCAGAGGAAGCAACTGAATAAAGAAAATCACAGCAGGAAACAGCAGGGGACAAAATGAGTCCTTAGTGAAATGTATAAATTGTGAGGGTAAAGAATGGAAAAGGAGCAACCCATCAGTTTGGGAGAGGTGCACAAACAGTGCAGAAACCACGAACAGGAAGAACACTAACTCAGCAGTGGCGAGGAAGGGTGCGGTTTTCATGTTATGCACACACCATGCGTCCTCCCACTCTAAGCACCAGCACGTTTCTTACCCGAACAGCGGACAGTGTTTCTAAGCTGCAAAGAAAAGCATCAGCACTTCACTTACTGTTGCACTGGTCGCATGCATATATCCTCCCTTCCAGAGCTTCAGTTTCTGTGAACTTGGCCAACATTTCTGTCAGCATGCACTCTGTCTGGTTTACAGGGACAACCCCTTTCTCAATAGAGTGATAACGTTCAGGAAATTCCAGGGAAAGATCCCAGAAGGGCTCAACGGTGTTGGATTTATAGTTGCATGTTATACAGGTGACCTGGAAAGGAAAGGTTTATACACACAAATAAGGGTACGTATACATCTCTACAAGAGAGGCATTCACATTCAGAGGACCCAAAGAACAGGACAGCTAATGCTCAAGAGGCAGTGCACTCTGGTGGATACAGTCCAGCTGCCAAGAGAAATGGGGTCTGACAGCTAATTATGTGACCCCAGGCAAAAAAAAAAAATAAAAAAAAATCAAAACTTTTCTGTCCCCATTTCCCCCATGCAGGATACTTGCCTCTCCATGAGCTCCTCTGACGAAAACTGTCACGTAACTGTGAAACTACTACATCTCTCCAAAATACTTTTGAACTATATTCTAGTATAGCGACTTCATACTAGCACTTGGGGTCCAATACTTTTCCCACCATTTCTTCAGTTTGTCTGCTTAAGTAGCAAACCCTGTGTACAGTCACCTTCATTGTTCTGCCCATTTCAGTTCCTGCATCACATGCCAACCCTGCAATTTACTTATGCTCCCGGGATGATGAGGGTGAAAAGGAGTAACTCAAATGCACAGGGTTTCTCCTGTCCTGCGAGATGGTGCTGATCTCATCTCTGCTAAGAGATACGAAGCAGAGCTTGCTGCCTTGACTTCAGGAAAGACACTGCACCTTAAGTTCACCAGTCTACACAAGGCATAATCCCTACTTCATATGTAACATTTAACCTACTACTGTTTGTAAAGCATTTGGGCTGGGGGGAGGGTGCAGCAGAGGGATGGGAGGTCTTGGATGAGATCTGTTATGTGTGAACAAAAGCTATACAGGCCTCCGATTAGAACAAGCATCTTGGCAGAATGAGCATACCAGACTAGTGGAAAACAGCACAGAAGGTTCCGAATAAGGTGCACTGACATTTAGCACCCCAGAGAGCAGGTAACAGATGCCTTAACTAGGAGTTCGGACAGGATATGCCACCAGCGAAGAGCTAGAATGATGCGTCTCAACAAAGAACCTTTAGTCAAAAAGCGTATGACGTGTACATGGGCAGACGTCTTCAAAATTAAACTGCAATTTTAAATTAACTGTGGTCATCCAAAAAAATCCTCTTTAAATAACGAACTGAAAGTGCTCTTCTTCAGTATGCGCCTATATGCCCGTTAACAAATTCAGGGTACCTAGCACTGGAAAAAGCACTACACAAGTAAGACTGCACACAACATTATTACTGTCCAATCCTGCAGAGTGTCAAGTGTCTCTTGCAAGGTGTGAGCACTTTTAATGACCTTTGAAGTCAATGGTAATTGAGGGCCTGCAGAGGCACTCAGCAACTCTCAGAGTCAAACCCTTGAGGAGTAACATGGTTTACTCAAGGGGAAAAATATATACCCAAGGGACCAAACGTTGCGAGATGCTGAGCTCTTGCGACTCCCACAGAAACCACAGAATTGTGGGTAGTCAGCACACTGCGGGCTCAATCGCAATGCCTGCAAATAATTTTTAATAAGCTCTGTTCTTTACGAGACAAGACGACTGGATTCTCTGTCCCTCATGCCACAATTTTTGAGCAGAGAAAGCAAACAAAGGAAAGGCTAAACTAATTAAAAAGATATGTTATAAGAACAAAAAGTAACTTACACCAGGGTTGAGAACTTGTACACTGCGTTCAAATGTCAACTTGAAGTGATAAAGGACCTCTAAATTATCATCGCATTCGATGAGGGATGTGTGCCGAAAATGCCAACAGGACTACTGCATGGTGCCATAACAAGTTCTGCCCTCATTACGTACACCTACCTAAGTCCTGTTGAATATCCGGCGGTTCGACAGAAAATAAAACCTCTGCTCCCTGGCACTGTGAGAGCAGTGGTTGGTTTCAGTGCTGACCTATGTGCATACCTGACTGAGCAGCTGCCCATGAAAAATGGTGTTCACCACTTTCAGGACCTGCTTGGTGAGCTTCCTTTGTGAGAAAGGGATGAGGATCCTGCGCTTCGTCCCTTCAGACTCCAGCTCCTGCTGCACTTTGTCCAACAGCTCACAAAGAAATTCCTGAGCGTCCTGCTGATCGTAACCTCGAAATGCTGGAATCAAACTCCACACAGAGTGCAGCATGGCAAATGGAGACACTAATGCCCACTTCCCAGACCACATTACTCTGAAGAGGGTGTGCAGTTCGTGACAAAGAGAGATGTGCTTTGAACTTGGTTCCTTGGGCTGTATTAGTTCCAAACTCCTGCTAATTGAGGACCCACCATTTAAGCCAACTGGCAAGCTTTGCCTGCCACATGACCCCATTTTGTCACTCTTCCCCGACTCATTAGCAGCAGATCCGTTTGCCAACTTGCCAGACATTCTAGACTTCCCGTTCACGGTTTTGGCTAAGAGTTCTTCAGTTTCACAGAGGTCAAGTGTCAAAAAACATTCTCTAAATTTCTGGAGGTGGCTTAGCACTTGCAGAATAGAGTTCATGTAGCATGTATTTCCAAGGTTCCTTAAACCAGTCACACCTGGAGTCATAAGGGGCTTGCGCCGGATGGAATAAAACTGTTTGAATTTGCTGCTCTGCACTCTCCTTGAGGTAGGGGAAGCTGTTGCCATCTCTCTGAATTTCCTTGGAATCAAGTTCTCTCTGTGAACATGAGACAACAGCCGTGCGCTCTTTCTGGGAGGAGTGTTTGCCAGCTCCTCCAAAAGCCGCCGTTTCATCTCTTGTCGTCGCTGCCTGGCTGCTTCCTTCTTTTTCTCCAGTTCCTCCATTCGTTTCTTTTGTTCTAGTTTCAACTGGCCTCTCGAACTCTTATCAAACCAGGTCCGCAGCGCTTTTGCTAGCAAGGACTGCCGCCTGTGCCAGAGAGCAGTGAGCATCTGAGGCTGTCCCTGAGGGGTCCTTTGATGGCTGCATACATCCTCCCCCAAAGCCATTGATCGCAATGTCCTACCACTTCTTGTTGATGGATCATGCTTTTGACTTCTAATTGCTGACAGAGAGCTTCTTAGCAATTTCAAATCACCCTCGGGATTATCATTCAAGACATAGTCTTCACAAAGGTAACAAAACACATAGAGATCGTTAACTTCCATTGCCAGCGGGTGTCTGGTTTCTTCAAAGTGTTTAAGTGCATGTTCCTCAATGTACCTTCCACAGGCCACATGGGAGCATTTCAGACATGCCCATATCGACTCTGTTGTCTTGCAGTCCATGCAGTGCCACTTCTGGGGGTTCAGGATAGAATGGTCTTGGGCGAGTCGTAGCCGCCCAACATGTTTGCATCTATCCATGTCTTACAGAAGTCTCCACTGCTTTAACCTTGAAGGGTAAAGGAGAAAAAAAAAGGACCTTAGAACCACTGTACATATTTAAATCCATCTCTTTTGTCCAAGACACAAAGAAGGCCTAAAGAGATACAGGCATGTCATGTCTTGTCAAGTCCAATTACATTACTTCCTTTCATAGACTTTATTACTGAGCACTTTTAAAAGCAGTTTTTAGTACCAGATACAGACTTGACAAGCTCCAAAGAACGAAGCTCTCTGCCTGCCTACTAAAGACAGTTCAGACAGGGACAGTGGAACATGCCAACGTGTTTTACCTGCCCTGGGTGGAATCACTTCCAAGAGGGAAGAGAGGAATTCAGCCCATGTACCTATGTGATCTTTAGCTATGCTCTTGGATTTGTTAAGCTTAAGGCTAATTTTGATGGTGGTTTTGTAACTGTAACTTCTGTTTGCTAGCAACTGGACCCAGATTGTGGAAATTCTTGCAGAGAAACCACACAGATGCTAGCTAACTGCCGTGACCAACCTGTGCTGTGCTGGATTGGTAAAGAGTCTGCATCCCACTGTCAATCTCTTGAATTCTTCATTCATTTTCCTACATTACACATTTTCCCCACCAGACAAAGGTTTGATAAAATGAGCATTTACAAATGAAATGCAGTCACTGCATTTATAGCAGGTCTCAGGTAATTTGCGCAGTTGTACTACACAACCTGCACATCATTGATGTCAAGTCAGATTTGGTTTTGGCTTTCAGCTTTTTCACAGAGTACTCCACAGCAAATCCCTATAAGGAAGATTTACAAGCAAGCTGGGTCACAAACTGGCAGCTCAGCTTATGAAAGCCACAGGAAAAATCATCAGCTGGTGGAAATGGTCACAGATCTATTGATTTTAATAGGGCTACATCAATATATGCCAGGTAAGAGTCTGCCTCTATTTCCTCAACCAAGGTCAACATTTTAAAATGTGCATGTTACAACCAAACCAGCACACGCATTTTAGGTAAAAAAAAAAAAAAAAAAGATTTTTTCCTAAATAAAACCAAAAAGGGGACAACAAAATTTACCCAATTTTAAAACCCCGGTTAAAAAAAAAAAAAAAGATTTTTTCCTAAATAAAACCAAAAAGGGGACAACAAAATTTACCCAATTTTAAAACCCCGGTTAAAAAAAAAAAAAAAGATTTTTTCCTAAATAAAACCAAAAAGGGGACAACAAAATTTACCCAATTTTAAAACCCCGGTTAAAAAAAAAAAAAAAGATTTTTTCCTAAATAAAACCAAAAAGGGGACAACAAAATTTACCCAATTTTAAAACCCCGGTTAAAAAAAAAAAAAAAGCATTCTGTCATAATGCACACAAAAGAGGAGACAACAAATTTACTCAGTTTTCAAATCCTGGATGAAGAAAATGAAAAGTAGTTCTAGACAACCAAGTGTTTCCTTATGTGTTCCACATCTATATATTTTATGTATACTATTCAGTTATATTCTAATCACACACAGCTACAGAGGTCTTAATACTAGTAAAACTGTTCCTTTATACACTTCATGCAAAGATCAGACAGTGGAAAAAAATTAAATAAAAATTAAAAAAACCAAACAAACCACAGGATGAAGATGCATCAGCCAGATGCAAACATGCATACGTATGTGATTCAGTACTCACTGAGTCATGTTTAAACATTCTTTTTTTCGCAACTCAGTGACCAAAGCATGGAACATCCCCATTTTAGCCAAAGGAGCCTTGGCAGTTCTTCGAGAAATTAATTACTACTTAGATCTTCATCACATAAAGGCAGCACAGCTTCAAAGCCCTAGAGAGAGAAAAAAAAAATATTCCTGTGATACATGTAAACAAAGTAAAAAAAGCTAGCAGAGCTGCTTTACAACACAATTAATCCCCTCAAAGTAAGAGCGACTGCAGAGAACATATTCATAATAGGGAACAGAATTAGCTGGAAGCCATGACATTAATGCACCTAACAACCCAAATACATGGCTGTGAAGAAATGTCAAATGGAAAAGGGCAGACTGGAATTTCATTTTTCTGATTTCATTTTCTGATAATCTATAAATCTGCTGATCACGCATAGCCTCTTCATTATAGGTCTTTCATAGTGGATGACCTGCCATATGGCAAAGTAAAATCTGAACAGGAAAACTGAGCAAAAATGTGCACCTCCTGTGATCACTTTGAATTTGACTTCATAGGAGATATTTTCAGGGTGGAGGGGGCGTGGAGTCTGTTCTGAATGAAATTCCATTTACTACATGATTTTTATAGCAACAAAAAAAATGCAGAAATGGAGAATGTCAAATATAAGCATCTTAAAATAGAACAACATTTAAGGATGAGAAGCTAGAAGAGACTGTCAAGTACTGCATCTTCTGTCCAAGGTAGAGGAACAACAAGGAGGCTTGAAAGAGCATTTTGTTTTCAATAATAAAAGGTAACTCCCATAACATACGACATGCATACATACAGACACACACATGCATCCACCCTCATATAAAACACCCCAGAACCGAAGTATTTCAATATAGCGTAAAGTTGTAATATCTGTAATAACAGCAATATGCACAAAGTGGTTACAGACATTCATCACACCATTCAAGACAGAGTTTCAGATCTGGCATACAGAAAGCTTAAAGATCAGAATGCCACTTTAATGGAGAATATAGTTGTAATGTTACTATGGAAATCTCATGCTTTCCGAGAGTCTTAAGATGGACATTGGAGCCACCAACTGCAAATGTGCAGAAGGCACATTTGACAAGTCAATGAATAGACGCCATAGGTTCTCTGACATTGGTTATGCAAGCGTAATTTAAAAATTTACTACCAAGCTCCTTATTGCTAATGCAGCTATTAAAGAAGGCAGATTTTAAGGCAAATGAAACCTCTGCATTCTTTCTATTGTTTGTTCTCAAACAGGGAAGAATAAAAGTAGTCTGTTTAGAAATGTTCTCTCTCTGCATCGCTTCAATATCAGACTAACCTTGTCTGTCTAAAGCATAGTTCGGAAATGGACTGTACCTTGCAGTTAGGGGATGCTTGCTCATTTACAACACAACAGGATCTGGGAAGGCACGGTCAGAAATAAAAGCATGAACAAGGCCTAGTGGTAGCAAGTTTAAACTCTCCCCCACTCCAACCCCATCCCTACCCCTTTCTGTATTCTCTATTTATCTGTTTCCGCTCAATTCTTGACTCAAAATTGTGAAATAATCCTGTCTAGTCTTGGTGAGTCCAAGTGCAATAGATTCCAGCTTGAAAGAGTAGACACTATGGTAACATTGACAGCCTTCATTTACATAAAAGAATACTAATTACGTTGTATCATCAACATCTGCGATTCTGCTCACTGCCATATGCGACAGTGTTGGGGATTTAACCCTTACGCCTCGCTAATGTACCCAGAATTGTCCCTACTATAGAAAAAATTAGCTTCAAGCGGTCTCTGGGATTTCTTTTCATCAAACAGAAGCAAAATGCAGTGACCAAGCTTCGCAGGCTTTCATGCAGCCAGTATTAAGAAGCATAAAAATTATCCTAAATTTCTAAGCAACCAACCCGTAACAATAGGTTGTTCGTTTCAACTGGGTAACAGGCTATAAGGAAATCAGAGCCACACAGGCAGAGAGCTTCAGAGTACAGTAGTTAGCAATAAAAACAGGCTGTCAGTATTTGAATTACAAGCCCTGTGTCAGTTCCCTTTGTTTTTGTTGTGTGGGCTAGTAGGATTTCCTGCTGTTCGAAGAATTTTGCCCTTTTAAAACCCTGGTCACTTAGCAAAGTGGGACTTGGAGAGCTAGATTTTGTTATTCCCAGCAAACAAGCATCCTTGATTTTGCACGCAATGTTCCCACCTTTTTCTCCTTAGGGAGCTACGGATACTGCGTATTTTCTTGCAGGCGTAGGCCTACGAACATGAACCAAGTTCATTAGGCTGTTCAAGAAGTGACACCGCACAGGAGCAGGTTTTATTTAATCAATTCGGCTTTCTTCTCCTAAGACTGTTCTGAAATGAAAGTCTTCCTTTCCACCAACTGGTTTTCTTGTCAAAACAGAAGCAAAAAACTCCCCCAACCCCCCCAACCCATTCTGCATACCCAGATGAGCTGAGCTGTTTGATCTGTGCACCCCGATTAATGCCCCCATCCCTCTAACAAACCCCAACCATGTCGACTTACCAGATAGAGTAGAAGCCTTTTTTCAAAATATCTTAAAAATGTAACAATCCCTTGTTTGTCTCAAGCCAAGAGCTCTTGATGCACGTTGCCCTGGATCGAAAGTCTGAGTTCTTAACATTATGCTTCTTTCAGCATTGTACAACACACGTCAAGAAAGTATCCAGAATACCTGTGGGTCTAACTACACCTCAGGCACACACTGATATTTAGTAAAAGGTGCGTGCACAGTTAAAAGACGGAATTAAGCTCCTGCTTTCTCTGTCACGCACCTGTGCAAACAACAACTGCCGGCTATTACCTATTTCAGAGGAGAGGATGAAGTAAATACTCACAAAAGAAACGGGGGAAAATAGTTATGGAACAGAAAGAGGAAAAATCTGAACTTGCAAATAGTTTAAAGGGGAAAAAAATTAATTGCTCTGCAAAGGCTGTAGAGAATTGAAACTATTTCAAGTGTCACGACAATGCTCATGAATTCAGAAGGTTGAGGAGGTGGTCTAGGATCAACTGTGAGCAACAAGCGTGTTCACTAGCAGGGAACTAATGTTTAGCACGTTTTCTTAAGGCTTTAGCAACAAAAGGCTAAAGTTGATTGTGACTGAACTTACGCTTAGTTTTATGGCACTCTGCAATTAGAATAGAGATTCCCAACCTTTTCCCAAGATGAGGATCTCCTTATTAGCACTGCTTGTCTTATAGATGCTCCCTCTTCCATTCATGACTGCTTCCATTTTTTTTTCCCCTTTACTCCCCATGACTGGAGATACAGCTGCAATTATGGTAGCAGAGGAAGTGTTAAACTGCATTAAGAGCCAGCTAGAAATGCACTGAACAGAAAAGCAAAGCGAACGTGACACCTTTCAACTACGTTTCTCTTATCAGTTTCCTGACTGAGAATTACTTTTGGTAATCAGATGCACGAAGCATTCACATGGATACAACTGTCTTCTCTATGCCACACCTTTCCTCTTCATGTTCCATATTCAGAACCAGACTGAAGAGATCTGTTGAAATTTGACAACTTCAGCTGCTTTTTTGTTTTTAAAATAATTGTGCAAGAGGGGAAAGGAGATAAAAGTATTGTTGGAAAGTCTGGATTGATAGCCCTCAGTCCGCTGTGTATCCACAGGACAAGCATAACACAGGCAGCAAGATTCCTGAACACTGAACTTCAGCCTGAAGGTCACTGCTAGTAATGGGAGGGAAGTTCAGATTTAATAGTCCTTTCATTCATTCTTCTCTCTACAGGCACTGGCAAAGGGGAGACCGGTGGTAGGAGCTTCTGTGATGTACTCCCTTCTCTGGGAACAACACTAACTTGGGTTTTTCATACTGGGAGGAAAATACCTTCAAATTCCTGTAATTCTTATCAACAGCAGAAAAATGAGGGGCAACTGAAGTCTAATTTAGAGCAAATAATTCTAAAATTTGGACACAAGTGTTAATTCTTCTGTCTGATAAAAAGCACACTTTCCAAGTGTGCATTCTGAGGTTTATGGCAGACTTTTCTCTCTGCAGCAAGCACTTAAAATTTGTAATAAACTGGAGAAGCTAGTACGGGGAAAAAAACACAACACATGTACAATTGCATGTGCATGTTCACATGCCTCACTCAACAGATTTTTTTAACTCACCCTTTTGCAATAGGCATACAAAACAGTAGTTTTGCCTATGCATGAATTGGAAGTCCTGATAGCAAACGCATCATATATATCATGCAGTCGCAACTGGGGACAAAAATATCAGAAGTCTGATACAGCATGAGCTGGCACAGGGACGCACACCTGTTTCTGACTGTTCACTGCTGCAGAGGATGGCAAACAGAGCAGGAGAGATAAGTTTTGTGATTATGCACTATAAAATGCAGTAGGGTAGCATATGCTTCTTTTCTTGGGGGAAAGTAAGCCAATATATTCTTATTGTTTCAACTCTGCTGACTGGACTGTTTTGTTTTATTTCATCATTCACAGAAAAATGCTGCAGGAACGTTTTTTGAAAGCACCACGCTCTCTCAGGTGGAGTTTGTCAGTCACTTTAGCAGAGAAGCTGATCTCGGCTGCTTTCTTAAGTGAGTTACTTTGCTTTGGGCAGGTGTGTTTTCCTTCTTGGTAGTAAGCTACCAAGCCAGTGTTTTCTACTGCAATATTTTACATTTATTTTTTTATTTATGGCACGAGCACTGTAATTTCTGCTTCCTTTCTACCCCTCTCCCACCTTAAAGCTTACTAGACCATCCCCCTTACACCGTCATTTAACTGCACAGTGATAAATACCGGTGGATGACTTACGTGCTGTAGGCAAGGATTTCTTCGGGTGGTATCTTTTATTGGACCAACTGCATAGCTGAAATAGAGTTAGACAAGCTTTCAAACGCAAGACATCCTTTTTCAACTATGCAGTTGGTTCAATAAAAGGTATCACCCTATGAAATCCTTGCCTCTTGCGTGATTCCTGGACCACTGCAGCTACAACATCACTCCAACATTATCATATTAAATGCTGTCATTTCTGCAATCCCTCTAACTGCCCAGGGATCAATAACCTTCTGCCAGCAGGGGCCACATTTTCCAACCTGGCCCCAACCACAGGCAAGTTTCTGCCCCCCCCCAGAGCAGCCATCTGCCTGTCCCTTCCCTTTGCACTGATCTCCTCCCTAACCTGCAGTGAGGGTAAGTGCAAATGCAGAGGAGCAGCAGACTCCACAGCAGAGAGCAGCACTGCAGGGAGGATGGGAAGAACAGCACAGCACATCTCCCATGCCAAATAGGACCTTTTCTGGGCTGGATCCAGCCTGTGGGCTGCACGCTGCCAATCTCTGCATCCATCTCAAAGGCCTCATCCATCCACATTGTTCTGATGGGTCCTTCTAGACAGCTAGGAAATGGAAAACTCAAAAACCACCAGCACTGTTTGTAGGTTGGCAGTGTAAAGTGGGACTGAGAATAGAAATGTGATGAGTGGTTCGTTGGTTGAGACAGAATAATGAGCAGAGCACTCCTTTCCTGCATTATAAAACAGGAAAAATGCAGGCTTATTTCTCAGAACATGAGAAATAGAATTCAACCTCTTATTCCAAAAAGATCTCACCCATCCACATAAAAAGCCTCTCAAAGCAGTCAGCCCTTCTAGAATTTACACCTTAGTCCCAATCTACTGTCTTGAGAATATTTCAAAGTGGGTCAGCCTGACATTGCAGTCAGAAGGAAACGCTGCACGTGTAAGCTAGAGCTACCACCACTTTTCTTCTCCCAGCAAATAGGAAGATGTCTTTCCAAGACTACCTGTAAAGCCTGTACTGTCCACCAGAACCACCTGCTGACCATACTGAAGAGCTACTCAGCGAAGTCTCTCTCTCCCGCACTCTCCTTTTTCTCCAGGGAATAGTCACTTGTCACAGGATCCTGCTCCCCTGCAATTAGGAAGTCTTGTTCTTAAGCGTCTAAACCTTGTTGTGTAGCAAGCAGAAACAGTCCCAACCATCTTTTTTAGTTTGTACCTGAGGCATGCTTTTTCAAGAGCTGTCTACTCTGTGTTCCAGGCTTGCTGGATTACCTCTGCCCAAGATGACAAGTTATCAAGTAGACAACCTACAGACAAATTAATACAGTTGCCAGAAGAAAAAACATATTAGCAAAAGCTTCAAGTTGACTGTGAATATGAAGGAGAAGGGCAAGCAAACCTGTGAATTAAAAGCTGCCATCAAACAGATAAGTTAACTTTTCTCTTTGATTGGGCAAAAACCTTTAGCAAATTGGGGAGCCTAAATGCACAACATTTTGCATTCACCACTCTGTTAAGGTTGGACCCAGAAATGAGAGAGGGACTAAAACTCAACTTCCAGGTCAATTCCACAGCAAGCTTTGTTTTATTAACTCCTTTCAAGTTAATTAGAATTGATGTCCATGTTAGATACTTTCCAGGAGTTCATATCACACTGTAAAAATTTGCTCTGGGCTCATATCTAATGTCTGATAGAAACTAATTTTCAAAGAAATGTAGCCATTGCAAAATGAGGGGGGGGCGGGGGGGAAATCTACAGGGATATAAAAAAATCCTATATAATTTAAGTTCCATTTCAGGTATTGTAATCTGAGCTCTATAGGATTTAGCTGTTCAT